TGCTCAGGTCCTTTTTAAATCTTTCCCCTCTCACCTTAAACCTATGCCCTCTAATTTTAGGCTTCCCCCCCACCCGAGGAAAAAGACCTTGGCTATTCACCCTATCCATGCCCCTCATGATTTCGCAATCCTCTATAAAGTTGCCCCCCCCCAAGTACTCTGATTTCAATTAATCTGGATGTTTGCTGAGAAAGTTTATGCCTTACAGTTTGCAGCTCACTGTTAGATAGACTAACTAAATTATTACAGTTCACTAAGCCTGCAACATAAGCAGAACAAAAACTAATGTCATCATTCATCTTTGGGAATATGAGAGTGAGACAGAGGCCTTGATTTTCATCATGATGAAGAGCACCAGAAATGCTGGAATCTTTGTTCCATTTCTAATTTTCATGGGTGCTGATTTGGAGACTATGCATTATTCATGCTTCTGGGATTCTCAGAAGCACCTGGCCAGTGAAATGACTAGCTGACTCCAGTGAAATCTGGTTTTGAAGTCTTTGGTATCTTGAACCCAGAGTTTAGACCAGATAAGAGGAGGTCTTTTTTCAGTGTGGCTACCCCTTTGGAGAGTTGAGGTGTCCTGTTGATATGGCCCAAGACACACTGAGGGTATCTTTTGGTAGTGGTGGTTGGGTGGGATGGGGACGGGGTGCACCAGGTATTCTTTGGAGATGGGTTCAAGTATCTTTGAAGTGTATCAGGGTTAGGTGCTCTTTGGGATTAACTGTGGATAACATTGAGTGCAAAGGTTGTACAATCTCCTTATGACAATCCCTGAACAGTTCCAAAGTATCTAGCAGGATGAAGAAGTTGCAGCCTACCAAGAAGTGGAGTGTCAAAACAGCAGCAGAGATTTGTTGGGCTAAATGTTTTGTTTCTGTACTATGCATTCTACATAATTTTAGTAACTATTAATCAAATATTCCTTAACTACAGTAAAACATAAGGATGATACAGATGGTCTGATAGAATAGGATTTTATTGCAGACTAAAAACCGGTGAAAATGATTCTGAGGAAAATATTACAGACATATTGCAAATCAGAATCATAATCGTGGATGATTTTAATTATTCAGAGATACTTTGGAATAACAGCAATTTAATGATTAATTGCAGCAAAGGTTTTTGCAGCCAGTTGAGGTCTATTTACAAAATTTGATTCTCTGCTTTTGGATTAAAAGCAATTGTAAGTGCTGGATCTTTATTCTTCATTCATGGGACGTGGGTGTTTCTGGGTAGAAATTTATTGCCCATCCTTTTTTGGGCCAGAGGGCAGTTTAGAATCAACCATATTGCTTTGGTCCTGGAGTCACGTGGAGGTCAGACCAGGTAACAACGGCAGTTTTCCTTCCCCAAAAGGACATTACTGAACCAGACAATAAACAACAGTTTCATACCCATCGTTAGATTTTTAAATCCAGATTTTTATTGAATTTTAAGTGTACCATTTGCCATGGTGGACTTTGAACACAGGTCCCCAGAACATTACCTGAGTCTCTGAATGAATAGTCTAGCAATAATACCACTAGGCCATCACCTCCTCCATCATAAATAAATAAATAAATAGATCTAATGCTGTTAAATTAATTGGGGAAAGTAGCTAAGGATATTTTCACTGTCGAACAGCAACAGCAATTAAGTTTGATATGAAAGCTAAGCAAAAGGTCTAAGGCTCATAGGTGCACAGAAAAAGAGGAAGATTTAATGAGGGAAGTAGATCAGCAACATTGCAAAGCGAAATTGGCAGATAAGAAAAACTGGTAAGACTCCAAACAGGACACGTTTAGGATAACAGCAAACATATACCCACAAAGTGAAAAGAATGTAGTAAAATTGAAGACTTTTGGATGAGTAGGGATATTAAAATTGAAATGAAACTTAAAAAGAGAGGCACATGTCAGATCTAGGTTGAATCAGTCAAAACTAAAATCATTAAGAAAATATAGAAGCAAAGAAATACAAAAAGAACAGTAGAACAGTAATAGAAATAGTACCAGATTTTCTAAACACACAAAGTTCTGAATAAAAAGCCAAAGATCACACAAAACTTTCTGCAATTGAAAATGTATGAATGAAGGGACAAGTAACCAAGTATTTTAGGACATGAGATATTCTGTCACAAACAGTTATGGAAGCAAACTCTTAAAATTGAAATGAATAAGCATTGAGAAAGATGATAGAAGCATGGAAAATGAGACAAATTGCTAGAAAAATAAAGAGGGCTGAGGATCAGGGAAGCACGTTTATAAAGATAATCTGCAGTAGAGAATCAAAGCCAGAAGAATGAGGTATATCTTTTCATTTGAGAATTATTTTGAGGATTGAATGATTTTGACAAAGGAAAGCAAATGTTAAGAGTGCTTGACGTGGCCCAGCTGCATTTGTCAAATGATAACTAAGCAAACTGTGGAGCACTTAGATTTCCGAGAGCAAAAATGGAGCAGAAGGAGCAACCAGGCTTGGAGAGAGTAAAGGGTTTTACTGGGGACAAGAAAATCAAAGTGCTGATGAATTGGTTTAGCTGATCATTAACTGTACAAGTATTGAGGTGAAATGAGGTCCAGAATGAGGAAAGTTTGGAAATAGTATACTGAAAGTACAGTTGCAAGTTCTTCTGGCACTGAAGCAGAAGTAATAGGGCTCAAAGAGAACGGGGGTGCAAGTGATGAGGTATTCAAGGCGGTGATCAAGAGTGGCTTCATCTGACTGAGATAATGGGTGATGGAAAAAGGTCATTGCAAATGGCAAATTTGGCAGCGTCAACTGGAATATAGATATGAGAGTTCATGTAAAGGCAGAAACAAATGAAAAGCAAAGAATGAGAGGAGAAACATCAACTTGATCTGAGGCAGAAACTTAAATGATTGAGTTTGAGGAGTCAACTCATGCAGAGATTGAGGGAAGAAAAGAGGGACAGTATTTCAGTTTGAAGGCTAAGGAGAAGCACCACGATGCCTGACTGAAGATAGGTCAATACAGATAAATCCATCAGCTTCCATGAACAAAAATTTACAAAAAAAAAAAGTATTTTGTCTTAATCATATCTGAATAGGCAAGTCACCAAGTCTTCACACAATAGCGGCTGAAATAATTCGCTGTACTGTGTGTGGGGGACAGGTCATTTCCCCACAGGACTTTCTCTGTAAAAATGCCAAGTTAATGCTAAATAATGAATGATTTTGTGATTTAGATTTATAATCACAGGAAATCAAATCAAGATGGCTAAACTCTTCTCAGTTAGGATCCTTAAGGACATTAGCTCCTAATGTGATATAATAAAATTTTCATAGCCCAGTAACCACCAAGTGCATTGGCATAATTTTTAACTACATGAAATACTTAAATAGCAACATTGTACATTTGAAGCTTTGGATCAGAATAGGTTTATAATTTCAAAAATATTAGAACAATTTACACCAATTACCCTTTCATTCTACTGAGGGTTTGATAATCATTTAAATCTCAGAGTTCCATAAATACTTAATGTACATTTGGATCTATTAAGAGATTATCTAACAAAAAAAGCTAGCCTTTTCTGAAAGGAATATTTGAATGGCATTATCATTTACTTAGTAGTGCATGAAGTTAAATAGTTGAGAAATTAAATTCTGGGTATTTGGTATGAAAAGAAAATGCTGCAAGTACACAAAAGGTCAGTCAGCATCTGAAAAAGACAGCTTGACACTTTTCATAACAATGCTGACAGAATCTATCTATCCCAAATGTTAACCTGAATTTTTCTCTAATGACCTCCTTAGTATGGCAGAATTTTCAGCTGCAATTTCTGGCATTCACAGAGTCTCTTTGTCCTTTTTGTTTCCGGCCATTGGTATTTCACCGAAGAAAATCAAATGACATCCCTTCAATTTAAAACAACGGAAATGATTGAGAATCTTTATAATGTGCTGTAAAATCATTTAGTTCAATGGCACTTGATCTCAGGCACACCCAGAGCCAAGGTGGAAAATTCCTTTGCAGATGCACCACCAAATTTAAAACTCTGGATCCAATCTTAACTTGGGATGGTCATGGTGCAGCTGAAGGTCAAGGCACAGGAGCAGATAACTGCTCCACACTCAGAAGCTTCCGTCAGTAAAGACTTAAACTCCCCATCTTCAACAATAAAATCTCGTCGGTGTCCCATCCAAAATGCCACCAAGTAATAGCTGCGTGGAGGAAGGAAACCACAAGACCACTGAAGAAATAGCCCCTATCACTCTAGTAAATGGTAAGAAGTACAGACTATATCATAAAGGGGAGGAGGGAGCAGAGTGGGACATGATGGGTTGCAAAATAGACAGCTGGACCGGTCTGATAAGTGGTTTAATTAAGTTAAATTAATTAATATTCCTGTTAAATCAGAACTTCCAAGACAACAATAACAGTCTGTAGATAAGTCTCCCCGCGCAATTTTGACTACATGGCTGCCTGGTTTCCCCTTCTGTACGTTTTGCAAAAATATCTTAAAATAATCTGGCATTCAATTGGCAATGCTGGAGAATTCATTTTGCCAACTGATTCTTTCAATGAGTGGATATCCAATTGTACATTTCAATATTCACCTTTTAACATTGATTTTAATTCACTGTCAAGCACATGGCTATTTCCTAAAATCAATACTTTTGTATATATAGTTAAGTGTGTACCTGTCCATCCAACTTTTATGAAACTTTCACCAGATTTATTCCACATTCCTCCAATAACTTTCTCATAAGAAAAGTACGATGCACTGAAAACAAGTCATTACATACAATGATTCTGAGGTATTCAGCTCCTTCCATCTTTATGTTTTCATAAGCAGCTCAAATGCCACTCTAAATTTCAATATCCTTTGAAACCAATGATGAACATTTTCCTTTTAAATAAACTTAGATCCTACGAGTGATGTGCTATACTCGCAATCAAGACCCGAGCAACTCAATTGCTCACAAACATGCTGTTAAAAAGTACATTTCGTGCTTCTGCAAACAGAATAATAGAACACAATTTGACAGAGGACTTGGTCTGTTGTGCATGAATTTCTATAACTGATGAGAAAATAAAACAGAACAAGAACATAGAGACCTTCAATGGACCGCAAACTTTGGATGTACAAAATATTTGTGAAAATAACATATATCAGCAGAATTAACACACTGTCCTAACTGAGTCAGCTCACAGCAGTTGCATCAGGGCATGAATCCTATTGTCATAATATTCATGCAATGATCTACTCTGCAAGGTTAAACTAATCCATGCCTTTCAATACCACTGAATAAAGCTCCACTCTTAACGTGCATATACAATTGATTTAATGTCAATTGAATACATGTCATTGCAAAACAGCATCTTACAGAACTGCTTAGTTTTATTCCTTACCATTTTCTGCATCAGACTTTCTTTCTTGTTCCGTGTCAGTGAGAGAAAGCATTGAATTTGCACGACTTGACAGACAGGAGCTATGTTCAGATTTGATTTCTCTCATCCACAATCTTAAAGCTTGATCTGGAGATGCAGCTCCTTCTGTCTCAGTGTCAACATCAGAACCTATTATCATTGGGTATCCATGCTGGGAAGGATCACACATGTCTGTCTGATATCCACCACATAGCACTGGTGGAGCCTCACAGAATTCCAAGGCTGAAAGAAACAAAAAGGAGAAAGAGAGAAAGACAGACAGTATGAGAGTTAAGACACCGAGCTCATCAAAAGAATGCTTCTGAGGACAGGTTAACAGAACATTATGACAAGCTGTATTTCAACCTTACTAACTGGAAGTCTTGGAAGACAACCAGGACAGTTCAATTGAATAAAATCAGCAATGAACTGGCTTGCCATAAACACATTAACATTATGAAAGATACTGCTTAAAAATATTTCTTTATTCACTGAAATATATATATGAAACTAAGTAATTCCATTACAGGGTATGTGCCAGTAACATAAATTCATACAACACTTTAGTGGCCATTCAGTCCAATGTGCTGTGTAAAAGAAGTAGTGCTAAGTACTATATACACCATTTGTCTTTCACCTTACAGGTTTCTCATGCCCAAATACATGTCCAAATCCTTTTGAAAGTTTATTGTCAAATCAGCTTCTCTCACACTTTCAAGTAAGCCATCCAGATCCCAACACTCCAATTGAAAAGAATTCTCCACAGTTCCCTTTTATATCTTGTGCCAAATGTTAAATATATAATGGAGCAAATTACTGCAGATGCTGGAATCTATACTAAAAACAAAAAATGCTGGAGATCACAACAGGTCAGGCAGCATCCATGGTGAGAGAGCAAGCTAACTTATTTTTGTTTCAAAAATATACTTTTTTCATAAAAAATCTTTGTATACATACATTGTCACAAAAGCAGTTCAGTTCTGTACTGTTGCATATCAAGTAATTAAACAAAACATTGGACTTTAACGCTATCCAGAAAACCAGGGACCTCTCTTACAAATATAGCACTAATATTTACATATATTTGAGGCATTAGGAGGGTCCAATAACTGAACGGACCACCATGTAGCTTCAACAGGAAGACCTCAGACAGTTCTCTTTCCCCGCAGCTGCCCCAAGCTTTAGTGCGTGCCTCAGCACATAGTCCTGGACTTGGAATGTGCCAGTTTGCACCACTTAGTCGGGGTCAGCTCCTTGTTCTGCAAGATCAACAACTTTCAGGCAGACCAATGAGCGTCTTTCACTGAGTTGATGGTCCTCCAGTCCCAACTGATGTTTGTCTTGGTGTGTGTCCCAGGGAACAGACCATGGAGCACAGAATCATGCGTCATGGAGCTGCTCGGGATGAACCTCGACACAAACCATTGCATTTTCCTCCAGACTTCCTTTGCAAAGGGACATTCCAGAAGAAGATGTGTGATAGTCTCTACACCCCCTGTAGCCACTTCGAGGGCAGCATGTGGTGACGCAGACTGACCAGGCATATACAAAGTACCTAACAGGTAGTGCCCTTCTCACCACCAGCCAAGCAATGTCTTGGTGCTTGTTAGAAAGTTCTGGTGATGAGGCTTCTGCCAAATGACTTTGACAGTCTGCCCAGGGAACAATACGACAGATCCACCTTCTCCTTTTCCTGCAGAATCTCAAGATGCTGTGTGCTGACCACTTCTTGATGGACTGGTGGTCAAAGGTGTTTTTCTTTGCAAATTTTTCGATGAAGGACAGGCGATATGGAATGGCCCAACTACTTGGAGTGCTGTGCGGTGCTGAGGCCATTCCCACACTTCGCAATACTGGGACAGGTAAAACCTCAGTACATAGTGACACTTGGTGTTTGCGTACCGAGGGTCTACTCACAGCTTTATGCGGCACACAAAGGTGGCAATGTTAGGTGCATTCTTCAGCCCCAGAGTTTTGTACATTGGGTTCCTGCAGAGCCAGTCTATCTTAGGCTTTCAGATGAAATGGAAGATGGCTCGGGTGACTAAACAGGACAGTTTTGGAGGATGGGCCACACCTGTGCTATGTACAACAACAGACAGAGTGCCTCACACCTGATGATCAAGCTTTTACCCACAATGGAGAGGCAGCAGTGCTCCCAAAAGATCAGTTTCTGCTTCACTTCGGCAATGCATTCCTCCCAAGATTTTGTGCATGCCCCGGCCCCTCCAAACCATATTCCCGGCACCTTCAGGTAATCTGTCATGATGGTGAAGGGAATGAAGGATTGGCCAGCGGAAGTGGCTGGTACAATTACAACCTTTAAAAGGCATCCAGATGGGTATTTTACAGGAAGGGTTGAGAGGGATATGGGCCAATGGCTGGCAAATGGGACTAGATTTTTTGAGGGTATCTGGTTGGCATGGACGAGTTGGATTGAAGGGACTGTTTCCGTACTGAGCACATCTATCACTCTATGAATTGGTGCAACACTTCTTAAGACAAGGAAACTTTTGGGGGATAAGCAGGGAAGTTATGTAAAAATTAAAATTGAGTTCATAAAATACATAGCTGTAAACTATAGTGTTGTTACGTTGTTTTTTTTAAAATGGACAATAAGGCTTGTATTGTCACCTGTAACATTGAAATTATACTCTGTACACTGAGCTCCAAATTATCAATATAAATCAAAAAGACCAGTTGTCCTAATTCTTAAACAGGGGTATCCACTGTAAACGTCTGCACAATCTGAAAAACAGCTTTCAACATTAAAATTTGCTTTCTGTCTTTTAAAGAACTGCGTAACTATAATTTCAATTCTCTAATAAATTCATGACCTTCAAGTGTACTAACAAATCTATCACATTGGTGGCATGGTGGCTCAGTGGTTAGCACTGAGGCCTCCCAGCACCAGGAATCCGGGTTCAATTCCAGCTTCAGGTGACTTTCTGAGTGGAGTTTCCAAGTTCTCCCGGTGTCTGAGTAGGCTTTCTCTGGGTGCCCTGGTTTCCTCCCACAGTCCAAAGGTGTGCAGTTTAGGTGGATTGGCCATGTTAAATTGTTCATAGTGTCCAGGGGAAGATTAGCCATGGTAATATGTGGAATAACTGGGATGCTCTTTGGAGGGTCGGTGTAGACTTGATGAGCTGAATGGCCTCGCTCCACACTGTAGAGATTCTATGACATTGTAATATGTTAAACAGCTTTTGAAAGTCCAGATACATTACATCAGCTACCTTATCTTCATTAACCCACTCTGTACAAATACTTTTAGAACAAAAAACAAAGAACATAGAACAGTACAGCACCATACAGGCCCTTCGTCCCACAATGTTGTGCCAACCTATTGTCCTACTAAGGTCAATCTATCCTGCATACCTTACATTTTACTATCCTCCATGTGCCTATCCAAGAGTCACTTAAATGTCCCTAATGTATCTGACTCCACTACCACTGCCGGCAGTGCATTCCACACGCCCACCACTCTGTGTGAAGAACCTACCTCTGACATCTCCCCTGTACTTTCCTCCAATCACCTTAAAATTATGACCCTCGTAATAATCATTTCCGCCCTGGGAAAAAGTCTCAGACTATTCACACTATCTATGCCTCTCATTATCTTTTACAACACAAAAAGGAGATCATTTCCTTCCTCTTTGAAAGAGTTATCCAACTATTTTCACTCCGTTGGCCGTTTTCCATAGACCTGAAAATGTGTCACTTTCAATGAACAGCAAAATAGGAATGTATGCTATTTTTGATTTTCATTTTGCCTTACTGTAGATGCACTGGGCTAATCATGATATCTCTTTGCTTTGGATAAGGAGCAAATAGTTCAGACCAATGAACTAAGAATCAAGCCTTGATCCTTGCTAATCTCTGTGCTACAGTGACAACACAGACCAAAATATTAAGTTGTAAAGCACTGGAGGCCTATAAAAATTATGAATGCACATCTATTATCTTAATAGTTTGAGGAAACAGAGAAAGACAATGGGAGAAAATTGTTCTGCTTTCCCATTTGAGCTTAAAAGCCATGATTCCTGACCTACTCAGGCTAGACCCTGTTTAGACATCAGCACACAAACTTTTGCACAGTCGCTTTTCAAAGAATGCAATGTTGAGCTAAGCATTGGCCAGGCAGCATGTGAGGCTAGCACATATTCTTGAGGATCTCCAATTCTTTAAGGTGGCTACACTCATTAGCAGGAAGCTTTTGCTAATTGTCCGTAATGAAATTAGCTGAAGTAGAAGCTAAATAAACAGAGGCCCAGGAGTAAAAGAGGACTTTTTCTTGGCAAGCACAAAACAAGTGAGCATCAAAAAGAGCAAGTGATGATCATGGAGACACACATTGGTCCAATCCATGAGATGGTTTCCTGACCTTGTGCAAAGTGCCCTCACAGCAACCTTTCAATGAAAGGGGATGGTGTGCTTTGAAGTGCAGTACCATACTGTAAGTGGATCAGGAAAGTGCATAATAATACAGTGAGGCTGGACATGTCAGATGCCAAGCTCTGTGGATAGGAGTTGCATGTGGTGATGAAGTGAAAGTGATGGAGTTTTGTACAATTACAACATTTTAAAAGCATCTGGATGGATGCATGAATAGGAAGGGTTTAGAGGGGTCTAGACCTGAAACGTCAGCTTTCCTGCTCCTCTGATGCTGTCTGGCCTGCTGTGTTCATCCAGCTGTACACCTTGTTATCTAGGATTTAGAGGTATATGGGCCAAATGCTGGCAAATGTAACTAGATTAATTTAGGGTACTGTGTCATTATGGATGATTTAGACTGAAGGATCTGTTTCCATGCTGTCCAACTCCATGACTCTATAGTTGCTGCCATGGAGGTATTCCAAGATGTTGGTAACTTGTCTAAGGAGGAGGTCTGGAGAATCAAGCAGTGAGCTGGAGTCCCTTTGACTTTCATGTCGCAAATTGTCAGCATCTGTTTTCCATTCAGAGGATGTCAGCATGCATATTAATGAGGTGGGATTATGTAATAATGAAATGTTCATGTAGACTAATACATATAAATAGGCCTCTCATCACTCACTAATGAATATTTCAGCTCACCAGACCAAACTCACTCAAAGTATATTAAAGGCGGTAATCTAAATCATAACCTTTTCTTATTTTAAAGGTAAGTGTAAGGTGTTGTGTTCCAAATGCAATTTGATTGGTCAAACTACCAGACTTGAAGCAAAACAAACTCTTCATACACTACAGTTAAAATGCAGACA